TCTCTCTCTCTCGTTTCCAGAGAGGTCTCACCCTCCTCTATCAGTTTCAGACTTGCACCCTCATCTTTTTGACTTGGCACCTTGAAGGGCATTTTGGAGGCAGGCTGATCTACGTTGACTTTCATGTCAAGATCTAAGAATGATTAGCGATTCAGTCTGATGGGATTCAGTCAGATAGCAAAATTTCCCATCACTATTTACCTACAACAACAACAACAAGATAGATTAATGTCACAGAGTGAGTACACAAACATTCACATTGGACAAAGTTACATTGATGGAGGCTTTTCTCAAATTCTTTCTTTGGTGATGGTGCAAAGCGCACAAAAGTTGGCAAAACAAGTTGTATAATACAGTTTTATGCAAATATGCATGAAAAAAAGACAGCTTTGATCTCTTGTAATGATTTCTCTTTCATTTGATTTGAGAGAAGATCGCTGACATATGGTCCTTGGCTTCAAGTGGCTTTTTATCCTCCAAAAAATAAAAGTATCCTGATAGCCCAAGATTAATGCATCTATAACCTGAAACAGAAGAAGAGATATTAAAAACATAATAAGGGTACAATCATTTATTACACATTATACATTAGAAAGTGTGTAAAAAGGGTCACAATACTTTGAGATTAATGTCACAGAGTGAGTACACAAACATTCACATTGGACAAAGTTACATTGATGGAGGCTTTTCTCAAATTCTTTCTTTGGTGACGGTGCAAAGCGCACAAAAGTTGGCAAAACAAGTTGTATAATACAGTTTTATGCAAATATGCATGAAAAAAAGACAGCTTTGATCTCTTGTAATGATTTCTCTTTCATTTGATTTGAGAGAAGATCGCTGACATATGGTCCTTGGCTTCAAGTGGCTTTTTATCCTCCAAAAAATAAAAGTATCCTGATAGCCCAAGATTAATGCATCTATAACCTGAAACAGAAGAAGAGATATTAAAAACATAATAAGGGTACAATCATTTATTACACATTATACATTAGAAAGTGTGTAAAAAGGGTCACAATACTTTGATTTAAAAACGTAGCAGACATAGTGCACTATATATATCTTACAAAATGTTCAAAACACAGCAAAGGCAAGAACTTAAAGAGGAGTGGAAATAAAAGAGCTAAGAAGAAAAGCACAGAAGAGAGTGTGCGAGCAGCGGTAGGCGTAGAGTAAAGGTGCCCCCTGCCTGGTGGGCTGATGAATGCCCCCCAGGCCCCAAACCTGTCCAAGAGTGAGATAGAGAAAGACACAGGAATGTTGGATTGAAGTTGTCCCACCAAAGTGCAAATGAAGCCATGTGATTTATCTAAAGCTATGACTATATGTCAGTTATGGACATTAGCGAACATCTTGCCTGAAACGCTGTGGCAGAAATCACATATTCACTTGACAACAATCCAAAAATTATACCTTTTTCAGTAAGTCATATATACCCTGAAAAATAAATATACTAAAATGTATTTGAAACACATTTATTTAATGCTAATTTAATGCTAATAAATATTAGATGAAAATCTTAAACTAAGAAATGTTGCCTTGACAGCTCACAAAAAAAGTTGAAGCACTAAAAATTACTAATTGCTACTAACCTAAATAGTATATTTTTAAAAAATGAGTAAAACACAGTAAAATAATAAACAATAATTTAAACGATTAGTAACAATAGTCATAAAACAACACTGCTAAGGACAGCAAGAGATTGGTTAACATATAGATGTTATTGGTAATCATCTAATGGAAATGAGGTCACATTTTAGCCTGATGTAATGCTTATCTGGTATCTGATACTGATACAAGTTTGGTAAAATCCCAATGTTTGATCATTAGTTGATTGTGATCTATATCTCAATATTATATGTAGTCAGAGGTTACATATAAAATATTTTAAGCTATTAAAGTGATCTATATACAGTATAAAACATGCACAGGTACGGAGGCTATACATGCAGACTGAAAACACACACATAGTTCTGCTGTAATTTGCTTCATAATTAATACCGCCACAATTTCAAGTGAGTTCATCATCCTTTCTCCTTTCCTAATCCATATTAAGCACAGTGTGATCAAATGCTCCATTGCTCAAATAAGCAAAACATCTAAAAAAAAGAGGGAAAAAAATCCATGGAAAAGGGGCAGAGTTTGCAAGATAAGCCAAATGCTCCTTCTTTAATCGATAAAAAAATACTAAATTACTACATTATCTTCATGCTGAACAGCAATGACCAACATGAAGGGCCTTCTTTGAACTAATAAGTGGAAACAAATGGCCTTTGAGATAAAA